GAAAGACTGAAGATTCAAATCTGGGGAGCTTTGTGAGCTCCCACTGTTAGCCCCAGCTTCTGCCAACCTAGCAGTTCAAAAACATAAAAATGTGAGCAGATCAATAGGTACCGCTCCGGCAGGAAGGTAACAGCACTCCATGCAGTCATGCCGGCCACATATCCTTGGAGGTGTCTATGGACAACGCCGGCTCTTCAGCTTAGAAATGGAGATAAGCACCAATCTCCAGAGTCGGACATGACTGGACTTAATGTCAGGCGAAAACCTTTACCTTTACCCTAATCAAGTTCAAAGCGGATAATGTGGATTATTTGCTTTGATAATCTGGATTATGTGGCAGTGGAGAAGAGGCTTGGGTCATACTATCTCAGCCTCAGGAAAACAAAGGCAAATCATTCACCCATCATCATTCTGGTTTAAGTACACTCTGGTCGTTTCTAGGCAGGGACTTCTCAGGTAAGCAATCAGAGAGGGTTGACTAACTATTCTGCCTTTTCATTCTTAACAGATTTTGCATTACATGAAGAAAATTGAAACACCATGAACACAAAGAAGGGCTATAAGTAGAGGACAGTGTTGTCTAATGCTTCTGCAAAGCTCATTGAATATTGCAAGGTGAAGCATGCTAAAAGCCATGCTTGGAAAAACAACTACAGTAGTATTTGACGCACTACCGATACTGATCTACAAATGGTCACAGTACATTATTTACGTCAAAACCTCTGGTTTTCCTTTGCAATGATCTTATTCCTTTTACTCTGTCCTGATGTCTTCCATCTCCTAGACAGTTTCTTCCCACAAATACTTCCTGTAGATTAATTGTACAGTTAATCGCACAAAAGAAACATAACCCCGCAGGCAACAGGAAGTGCCCTTCTGTTTAGTCTGTTTGTCCAGCAAGTACAGTGACCAGTTCTTTGCCAGGAACGTGTCACAGCTATAAAGAAAAATGCCTTCTTTTGCAAAATTGGATCATATCGATGCATTTCCATGGCACGGGCCGTTCCCTTCCGTTATTTCTGTTCACAGTTTTAAGTGGCATTTCTTTTGTGCTGCTGACCTAGAATATTGTTGTAGGGTGAACATACCATTCTGGAATGACTTTCCTACTTCTCAAATAGGTGGTGAACTGCATTTAAAAAGTAGCAGGTCAATTTAAGATGGAAAAAATAGGAGGACCTTTTGGCCAGAACACTATTGTCTTAAACTGCTTGTCCAGCAGGTTTCGCTTCCTCACTATTCATGCAGTGAGAGATCCAGGGCATAGTTGAAGTCCCTTTCTCCCAGTGTCAGTCTCTGTGGATGCAATAGCAAGTAGCAGGGCTTCTTAAGGTGTTCAACCCAGGACCCTTTTTAGCCTGAGAAATGTTTACGCAACCTTGGATATATACACATACAGAAAAGTCACAAAAATCAAATATTTACTGATAACAAATCAGCCTTTGTATGGCTTGCTAAACAGACATGGAGCAGTTAAGCCCCCCACCACAACAAGGTGGCACCCATCAGGCGGTGGAGGGGGCACCAGGAGTAAGCTATCAGACAAATGCCATTAAGCCCAGGATTGAAAAATCAGCTGATGAACCAAAATGGAGACTGTGCAAGGAAGCTGATGAAGCCATTTATCATATCCTCAGCTGCTGCAAGATAATCGCACAGACGGACTACAGAGGCATAACTATGTGGCCCAAATTATTCATTGGAACTTATGTCACAAGTACCACCTGCCAGTAGTAAAAAACTGGTGGGATCATAAACCTGCAAAGGTAGTGGAAAATGAACACGCAAAAATACTGTGGAACTTTTGAATCCAGAACACAATACACCAGACATCACGATTGTGGAAAAGAAAAAAGTTTGGATTATTGATGTCGCCATACCAGGTTACAGTCGAACTGACGAAAAACAACAGGAAAAACTCAGGCGTTATCAGGATCTCAAAATCGAACTGCAAATGCTCTGGCATAAACCAGTACAGATGGTCCCAGTGGCAATCAGCACACTGGGTGCCGTGCCAAAAGATCTCAGCCAACATTTGAAAACAATAAATATTGACAAAATCACGATCTGTCAACTGCGAAAGGCCACCTTACTTGGATCTGTGTGTATCATTCAAAAATACATCACACAGTCCTAGACACTTGGGAAGTGTTTGACTGCCCAAGATGGGATATGAAATCCAGCATATATATCTCGTTTGCTGTGTCACACTGTGTTTTTGTGTAATAATAATAATAATAATAATAATAATAATAATAATATGTTTTATTCATTTATACCCCATCTTTTCCCCAATGATGGGTCTCACGACAGCTAATTTATTAAAAACAATGCAAGTTCTAAGCAATACAAAAAGTCAGAATAAATATAAATAAGCAATTTAAAATATGCTGTAGAATGAATGCAGCTTGACACAACTGTCACTGCCATGGCTGAAAGCTTTTTAGTTTGGAGAGGCACTAGCACTCTTTGGCAGAGAAGGTGAAAGATTTTGCAAAACTTCAACTCCTGGGATTCCATAAGATTGAGCCACAGTCATTAAAGTAATGTAAACTGCATTAGATCCGCAGCACAAGTCCTGCAACAAATGAGGTCAAAGTCTTATCTATTGTTGAAGGCTTTCATGGCCAAAATCATTGGGTTGTTGTAGGTTTTTTTTTGGGCTATGTGGCCATGCTCTATAGCAGTGGTTCTCAACCTGGGGTCCCCAGATGTTTTTTGCCTTCAACTCCCAGAAATCCTAGCAGCTGGTAAACTGTCTAGGATTTCTGGGAGTTGTAGGCCAAAACACCTGTGGACCCACAGGTTGAGAACCAGTGTTCTAGAAGCATTCTCTTCTGACACTTCACCTGCATCTATGGCAAGCATCCTCACTACCTCTGAGGACGCTTGCCATAGATGCAGATGAAACATCAGAGAGAATGCCTCTAGAACATGGCCATATACCCCGAAAAAATCCTACAACAACCCAGTCTCTTATCTGTTGAAGGGTGTTGCAAGAAATTAGTAGTGAAGTGCTTAAATGTTTTCTTGTCTTGCAAATTGTACTCTATTGAACCATAAAGTGTGATTTAAAAATGCAAGGAATGCAAGCAGATGCCCCTTCCACACAGTTGAATAAAAGCCCACATTATCTGCTTTGAACTGGAATATATGACAGTGTGGACTCAGATAACCCAGGACCCTTCCACACAGCGCTATAACCCAAAATATCAAGGCAGAAAATCCCACAATATCTGCTTTGAATTTGGTTATTTGTGTCCACACTGCCATATATTCCAGTTCAAATCAGATAATGTGGGATTTTATTCAGCTGTGTGGAAGGAGCCCCATTTCAAAGCAGATATAGTCGGATTTTCTGCCTTGATGTTCTGCGTTACATGGCTGTGTGGAAGGGCACTGAGACAGTGGCAAATATTTCCTGCATAAATCTCGTGATTGGTGTGTTTTGACAGAAGGCGAACCAAACCAGAACTGCCAGAATGCCATCAATGCATTAACTGTCATTCTGTATAGAACGTGAGCAAGGCAGTTCACATTGTCATGGCTCCAAAAATGCAATGAAATCAGAGGAGTTGCAGTTTTAAGGACTTGAAGACCTGGCCATTTAAACAGGCCTTTGACAATGATTAGTTAATATCCCTTTAATGTGAGTGAGGTCTTTGTTTTATGGATATACTTTGATTCGGTTATTTTGGCTTTTATTTAATTTATAGGAACCATTGCATTTTTAATTCATGTTTTATACTGCTAATTGTTTAATTTGTCTATTTTGTGTTCTCATTTATATTGACTTGCCAGGTTATCATCTGCCTTATTTTATTTTGCATGTATTATTCATTGTATTTATTTATGTTGTAAGCCGCCAGGGAGATGGGGCGAGATATAAATAAAGTTTATGATTATTATGATTACTAGGTTGGAGACCCAGCAATGCCCGAATTATTTGAAAAGGGCATTTGTCAGCTGGTTTCAGTGCTCTCTGGTGAAGGATGAACTACAACTCCCATATGCCAAGGTCAATCACGCCCAAACCTAGGTCTGTAGCCGGGGGAGGGGGGGTGTTTAGGGGTTCACCCCCCCCCCCCAAATTTCAGGTTTAAAAAAAACTGGTTTGCTCATGAATTTTAACTGGTTAACCAAATCCCCATGCTAAGTCTATGAGATTGCACCTGCAGAAAAACCATCAAATGCACTGGAAGCATATCTTATCTTGTCTGTGATGGACAGTTTTTTCCAAATTATGAAGAAACTTCTTCAGATTTCTGCAACATTACCAGTGTCAACAGCTACAAATGAAAGGTCGTTTTCAACCCTTAAACGTTTGAAAACATACACAAGAAGTACAATGAGGCAAGAAAGACTGACTGGACTTGCACTCTTGAGTGTCCACCGAAGTTTAGCAATAGAGCCTGATTTCTGTCAAAGTGTATTGACACAGTTTTCAAGTGTTTCTAACAAATGTTGTGGTATTTTTTTTGTAACTATAAATTATCAATTAGCAATCATTTTCAGTTATTTTAAGACTTGAAACTTTAACTAAAAAGCACCCCCGACAGATGGTCACCCAGCCTCTGCTTCAAAGCCTCCAAAGGAGCCTCCAACACACTCCGGGGCAGAGAGTTCCACTGCTGAACAGCTCTCACAGTTAGGAAATTCTTCCTAATGTTCAGATGGAATCTTCAAGTGAACTGGGATATATGGCAGTCCACACTGCCATATATCCCAGTTCAAAAGTGGGGTTGCATTCAACTGTTCATAAAGTGGGGTTGCATTCAACTGTGTGGAAGGGGGCCCTTGGAAAAGAGCAACTCCTGGGAATGCATAGCACTGAGCCAGGGCAGGCGCTCAAACGCATTCGATCTACAGAAGAGGGGCTTTGGAGGGGGAAGAGTGGCAAGCAAGAGTGTGGAGCCCACTCCGCGCAGGCGCATTGGGGAGAGCGGCGCGCAGTGGTCCAGCGGGCAAGAGGCGTGTCGGCACCCAGCCTGCTCCTCCTCCTCCTCCTCCTCTTCCTCTTAAAGGGGAGGGCGACTCTCTGGGTCGATGTCCAACAGGCTGCGAGCAAGCGGCAGGAAAACAGGAGCAGCCACAGGAGCAGGAGGGGAAAGCCATCGCTTGCTGGGCGGCCTCCGTCTTGGCTTCTGGCCCCTTGGCCGACCGATGCGCCTGCTTTCCCCTTTCCGCAGCTCGGAGGGTGGGACATGGTGGCCCTCCACCTGTGGGACCACCTGAAGGCGGGCAGCTCCGAGCTGGACTGGTGCGAGGACAACTACACCATCGTGCCCACCATCGCCGAGTTCTACAACACGGTGCGTGCCTGGGAAGGGAGTGAGGGGCATCCGCACCGTAGAGTTAACGCGGTTTGACACCGCCACGGCTCTAGGGCTATGGGATCCTCATTTGGAGAAGCAGAAAAGGTTCAGGACATTGTGAGACAGGGAAGGGAAAGGATGGGATTGGAGAACACCCGCACTGTAGAGTTAACGCGGTTTGACGCCGCTTTAATGTGCCAAGGCTCAAGGGAGGCAGAGAAAAGGCTCAGGACTTTGTGAAACTACAACTCCCTAGAGCCTTGAGCTGGGGAAGTTCAAAGTGGGATCAAGCTGCATCATTTCTGCAGTGTAGATGCACTCAGCATCGTCATCATCATCACAATCCAGTGAACTATGCTCTGTTCCAGGCCTGGCCAAACTTGGGCCCTCCAGGTGTTTTGGACTTCAACTCCCACGTAGGCTGTTAGGAATTGTGGGAGTTGAAGTCCAAAACACCTGGAGGGCCCAAGTTTGCCCATGTCTGCAATACACAGGTGTGCTTGGCTTCACCTCACCTGTTATTATTACAATATTGAGCATCCCTTATCTGGAATTCCAAAAATTATCCACATCAGTGGCTGAGAGAGTGATACCATTGTTTTCTGTTTGATTGTCAATGTACCCATGTTTGGCCCGATGCATAAAATGACAGTACACTCTCAGGCCTCTTCCACACTGCTGTACAAAATCCACATTGAACTGGATTATATGGCAGTGTGGACTCATATAATCCAGTTTAAAGCGGATATTGTGGATTGTCTGCCTTGATATTCTGGATTTTATATGGCTGTGTGGGAGGACCCTCAGGGCCTTTCTGTACTGCCATATATCTGCTTTGAACTGGATTATATGGATTATTTGAACTCAGATAATCCAGGTCCTTCCACAAGGACCTTCTACACAGCCACATAACCCAGAATATCAAGGCAGATAATCCACATTATCTGCTTTGAACTGGATTATATGGCAGTGTAGACTCATATAACCCAGGTCAAAGCAGATAATGCGGATTATTTGATTTGGTAATCTGGATTATATGGTAGTGTAGGGACCTTCCACACAGCCACATAACCCAGAATATCGAGGCAGATAATCCACAATACCTGCTTAGAACTGGATTTTATGGCAGTGTTGACCCATATAACCCAGGTCAAAGCAGATAATGTGGATTATCTGATTTGATAATTGAGATTATATGGCAGTTTAGAAGGAACCTTAGGGACCTTCCACACAGCCACATAACCCAGAATATTAAGGCAGATAATGCACGATATCTGCTTTGAACTGGATTATATGGCAGTGTATACTCATATAACCCAGGTCCAAGCCAATATGTGGATTATCTGATTTAGATTATATGGCAATGTAGAAAGGACMCTAGGACCCTTTCACACGGCCATATAACCCAGAATATCAAGACAGATACTTCCACAATATCTGCTTTGAACTGGATTATATGGCAGTGTATGCTCATATAACCCAGGTCACAGCAGATAATGTGGATTATCTGATTTGATAATCTGGATTATATGACAGTGTAGGCTGGACTTCAGGGTCCTTCTACACAGCCACATAACCCAGAATATCAAGGCAGATAATCCACAATATCTGCTTTGAACTGGATTATTTCAGTCCACACTGCCATATAACCTGGTTCAAAGCAGAAAATGTGGGATTTTATACAGCTATGTGGGAGAGACCTCTGTTAACCGGAACTCAAGAAACCAGAACTAGCAAATACGCCAAGGAAATAACAATCTGCATTCTTTAAATTAAGTTTGTCTTTAATAGTCTCATTTGGCTTTTGCTTTTACTATATTTCAATATTAATACCAATAGAGTTTATGGTGTATTATAGTAATGGGGTGAAGTGTTAGGCTTGCTTTTAATACTACCTCTCAAGCAATCTATCATTCTCCATGAGTGCCGTTTAACTGAGAGCCTACTATATTAAATGGTGGAGATAGTGGCACCTTTGCTTTCTCCTCAATGCACCTGTGCTTTGCTTCATGGATAAAAAAATATTAAAAACGGCTTATTATCAAATGGCGGAGGTAGTGACACCTTTGCCTTCCGGTCTTGCAGTGCGCATGAAATTATTAAAATGCTATGCATAGAATTACCTTCAGGCTATGTGTATAAGGTGTCTACGAAATATATTACACCAATACTCTGTGTTAAGACAAGATATGTAAATACAATAGAGTCTTGCTTATCCAACCTTCGCTCATCCAATGTTCTGTATTATCCAACACAGTCTTCCTCCTGCCCAGATCCACAGATGTTTCAATACATTGCAATGTTTTGGTGCTAAATTAGTAGATAAAGTAATTACTACATAATGTTACTGTGCTTTTCCCTTCGATTTGTTGAAAAACATTATGTTTTGGTGCTCAATTTGTAAAATCATAATGTAATTTGAGGTTTAATAGGCTTTTCATTAATCCCTCCTTATTACCCAACATTTCTGCTTATCCAACTTTCTGCTGGCCCGTTTATGTTGGACTAACTGTTCCCTGTATTGCATTGCTGTGGCCCAGTTTGTGTATATGTGCCTTGTGTGTATATGTGTATATATGTGGTTTTGCACATGCATTGTATTTTTATTTTTTGGCTTTTAAAGTCCCTTCCGCTGTGTTTTTCAGTGTTTTTATGAGTGATGGTAATTTATTGGCCTGATTCATGTATTGGGTCCATATTTAGTGTCAATTTGTCCAGTGGTTTTTGAGTTATGTTAATCCCACAAACGAACATTTTTATTTATATAGATAAGTGAGATTCTAATGTATTATGCATATGCAAATATTCAAGGCTGTAAGCATGATCCAAACGAAGACGAGCACATATGTGGGTCCTCTTATTTGAATGTGATGCCATACAGAAAACTCCCCTGATGCAGTAGAGTTGAGTGCAGACTTTTGTCATTTAGGCCCCTTCCACACAGCTGAATAAAATCTCACATTTTCTGTTTTGAACTGGAGTATATGGCAATATGGACCTAGGCCCATTCCACATCTGAATAAAATCCCACATTATCTGCTCTGAACTGGAATGGATGGCTGTATGGATTCAGATAACCCAGTTCAAAGCAGATACTGTGGAATTGTCTGCCTTGATATTCTGGATTATAGCTGTGTGGAAGGATCCTACAATAACCCAGTTCAAAGCAGATAGTGTGGGATTTTCTGCCTTGATATTATGGGTTATAGGGCTGTGTGGAAGAGCCCAGAGTGTCCCCAGATTGATCTCAAACCACAACTCCCATCACCCCAGCATGGCCAGTGCTCAGGCATTCAGGACTATTATGAGTGCGTATGAGTGGGATTCAGAGGTTAGCTCAATATCTTAAATATTCAGATCCCTTCTGATCTTGGAAGCTAAGCAGGGTCAGCCCTGGCTAACACTTGGATGGGAGACCACCAATGAATACCAGCTGTAGTAGTCTATATTTCAGAGGAAGAAACTGGCCAAACCACCTCTGAATATTCCTTGCCTGTGAAATTCATTGAGGCCCCTTCCACACAGCTGAATAAAATCCCACATGTTCTGCTTTGAACCGGAGTATATGGCAGTGTAGACTCAGATAACCCAATACAAAGCAGATATTTTGGGATTTTCTGCCTTGATATTCTGGGTTATATGGCTGTGTGGAAAGGCGCAGAGTTACCATAACCCAAGAGGTGGCTTGAAGGCACATCCACCACTGTGTTAAGAGATGACTAGTGAAATGGGATCCAATATGTCACTTTGATTTGTAGTAGGAATTTATTTATTCATTTATTTACAGCATTTATATGCCACCCTTCTCACCCCGAAGGGAACTCAGAGCGGCTTACAAGATCAAGTTTGGCATCTTATTTTTTATTTTGCAAAGCTGCTCTGAGTTCCCTTCGGGGTGAGAAGGGTGGCATATAAATGTCGTAAATAAATGAATAAATACTATATAACGGTATAGTACAATATAGTAATATTTAATACTGATATAGTACTATGCTCATAATACGTACAATATATTATATTAGCATAGTACAATATCAGTATTAAATATTACTATATTGTACTATACCATTATATTGTAATATTATTAGTAATATTACATTCATTTGCTTCATCCTGTGTCCTGCTTTTTGGCACAAGTTGTCATCTAGTGCTGTGTCGGGGATTCAATTTCCTTGCCAATGAAATCACCAGCAAGCGAGGAGAAGGAGAACAACACTTTGCAAAATAAAAAAAATAAGATACCAAACTCGATCATGCGGAGAGTATGGCATAATGGTTTGTGTGTTGGACTAGGACATGGGACGACTAGGATTTGAACCTTGGCTTGGCTACAGGAATTAATTGGGTGGTCTTGGGCAAGTCACACTCTCTCAGCTTCAGAGGAAGGCAAAGAGATGTTCTTGGAGCACATTGTGCCAAAAGAACCCCATGATAGAGTCACCATAAGTCGGAAAGAACTTGGAAGGCACAACAATAACACAGTGATAATAATAAGAGTAACAAGAACAACATATTGATAATACAGCTGCTTATTAAAACTACTGTCTTGTACATGCTAGATCAGGCATGGACAAACTTTGGCCCTCCAGATGTTTTGGACTTCAACTCCCACAATTCCTGGTCTCAGGCCCCTTCTTTTTCCCCCCTCAGCCGCTTAAGGGGGAAAAAGAAAGGGCCTGAGACCAGGAATTGTGGGAGTTGAAGTCCAAAACACCTGGAGGGCCAAAGTTTGCCCATGCCTACACTAGATGAATTGTGAGCTTAGTTTGTTGACTTCTGACTACATTCACATATGCAGTTGCAGTCGAAAAGTAAACTATTTTCATTCTTTTCCAAGTTTATATAAATTTTCTCCTAATAGTCTTTTTGCTGCTAGGATTATGCATGTGCATGTCCTTGCAAATAGATCTGGAGGCTGAATCATTAGATACAGGTGTTGTTTTTTTCTTGTTTTTCCTGGCACTGCTTCCCTAAAACATAGAAACTTGTGGGAGCCA